TACATATCTTGTTGTTCGCATGAAACAAGGAATTCAGTTGTTAACTTTTGAAAGGGCTGCTCAAAATTAACCTTCTGCAAGAAAATAGCAAACCAGTGGAAAGCTAAAAAGTTAGGTTTATTTTTATCACTGCTGTAACATACTTGGGATGCTTCATCTTGTTGACATTCACCTAGGTTCACCACACTACTCCTGATGCCCAGGGAACAAATAGCTCCTACGCCCTGCTGCTTCTCAGGGGATGAATACTGTTTGCTTCATTCTCCCTACACAGGATTTTTTTGCAGGATTTCCTACAGGAGTCCTTCCTGTCTGACATGAGTGAGGTTTCACTGGACAGTTTCTGAGAAAGCATGTGCTAAAGCTAATCTGGTCAGATCCTGGCCAAGATGAGCTGCTGACTGTCTTTCAGACCGCCCCGTGGGTGATGGGTCTTTGCATCCAAGGCCCAGAAATTCTCAATGGTATTTATCTCTTGTCCAATGCTGTGGTGCGTTTCCAGCCCTGACAGATATATGTTAGGTTTAACCTTCCCTGACACGTGCCTGATGAAAGCCGGGCTCAGGAAGCCAAAAGAAGCATCACAATGGACTCAAGGAAAGGCTCGTCTTGCTAGAGCACAGGAACAACAGTTCAAAACACAAAAAATTTTAGTTACCAAGACTTGAAAAGTCTTCAGCAACTCCAGCAGAAAGAAGGTGAGAGGACTGCATACTGAGATCAAGCACGGTGATAAGGATTTTTGTGTCATTTGTAAAACTACAATGTGCACCTTTCAGTGAAAGTCTGCACCACACACAGATTGCACCACTTGCAGCTTAAAAATCTTAATGCTTACATCACTCACCACATAGTTTTCTCCTACATCTAAGCCGCCTCCTAAGTTTTCAGAAGGGAAAACAAGTTTAATAAACCTTATTCCTCTGGCTCTTTAACAGGCTGAGAAGTCAGTGGCACAACCCTCAAGGATCTCTCACCACTCACCATCCTCCTTTTTGAGGATCTCCCAGACACTCACCATCCTCCTCCATGCCTCCTGGAACTGTCTCATCCTAGTGGCCACTCCTTTGCCACCACAGGGCTCTTCCAACTGCACCCAGTGATCCACACCTGCCATGGGACTGTGTTCACTGTACTTTCACTATTTACAAGCAAGGTTAGAAAACACCATCAGCAGAGACATTACAGTCTTAGTCTTATGCATATGAATACAGGCTGGTTTGAAAAAGTGCTTGTTCTCACAGTATCACCCTATCTGGTCTTTAACAGCTTGCATGCAAAAATCAAGCAGACTCAGAGTGCACCACAGACAAAAATACCACAGCAGTAGCAGCAATGATCGAATTCTGCCACCACCTTACAAAAGCAGGTATCATCTACCTTCTTCTCAACTCATCAGTATAACACACATTAAGAGACACAACTAAAGTGGCAGGTGACAAGAAGTGCAGCTAAAATGGCATCCTCAGACTTCCCCTGTGCCCTAAATAAACCTATCTCCACACACTTCTGGTAAGTGAGAGATGCAGGTGCAAGCAAGGGTCCCACGCCAGCCCCTCCGCTGCCTCCCATGCTGCCAGAAGAGCCAAGGGCCAGGTGGGCAACTCTCTCCCACTGCTACACAGGATCCTGTTTCACCATTTTGACTCCTGGATGGGTGATAATGTACAAGCAGCAACAAGATGGACCATCTCTCAGACAGCAAAGCACATGGCCTATTCAGGGACACCTGCTGTCATCAACAGGCAAAGAGACATGATTTCAATAATTACACACATGATCATTTGGACCACCTCACTGCCCAGGCAGGACAAAAGCACTACAAAATCTAGAGCTGAACAACATTTCTCAGGTGAAAGGCTCATAAAATAAAAATCCTGTAGTCCTCCACTCCTCGCCCTCAATAGCTGTGAAACTGAAACAAATAAGATTACAAGATCTTAAAGTGATCTATCAAAGCAGATGAAGCAAACACTTCAATGTTGCTGCAGCAAGGTAGAAGACATGACCAAACCACAACTCCTGTTTCCCCGATCAAGGCCTTCAGAGCTGCAGAGTACTGCAGAAGAGCATGGGGTTGGTTCTGCTGTTGGTTTGCCAAATTTAAATGGAAAATAGCAAATAAAAATGCTTAGAGAATGTATATTATTGTCAAACCTCGTTTCAATAATGTCAATCGTTCGTAGTCCAAAAGATTAAACACTATTGGATTAATAAGGGTGCCACATCACTTTCAGAAAAGCCTGGCTGTGACAATTATATCCACAAAACTGCAGAAGGCTGATCACCAGCAGAGGGAGGATAAGGCAAGTCTACAGGCTGGAAAGTCAAGCATTAGTCAACTCTTGCAGACAAGACTATAGTCAGGCCAGTGTTTAGACAGCATCCAGGACAGGCAGCACAGGCCTCAGTTCAGACTTTCAACATACACAGTGGATGCTGCCCATCAACTAGGACTTGAGGAAGCTAGTGTACAACTGCCTCCATTTTTTTACGCAGACAGTAAACAAGTCCTTGCTGATTGGCAGGATTTGCATTCAGCACTAAAGAGGACGCTGCAATACAAGAACAGAATAAGCACAGCTTGCTTGGGCAAGTAATCCACCACACAGCCACGGCCACAGAGTATGCTGGGGATAAAATGTAAAAATTAAAAACTAAATAAAAAAAAAAAATCAGCAAACTATTTCAGTGGAGAGCTAATTTCAGGGGAACAAGACAAAGAATACACTTTTAACCAGGACAGCCTACAGTCCCATCATTATTAAAATCTCATTCAAGGGAAGCAGCAGCAGTACAGGTTGAGGAAGGGAGGAACAAGACAAGGAATAGGCAATTGCAGTTACTGAATTAAAAATAACCTGAAGCCATGACTTAAGGCTGCGTCCTTGAAGGACTGGCCTTCTTCCTGCCCCACTCCTGGGCTGCTCCCTGCAGTGGTTCAGAGCAGCGTGAAGCTGTTCCCACCTATGAGCTCCAGCGCTGACAACCAGCTCTGAGCTGCAGGAATGAGTAAGAGAATGCCAGTCTGTCTTCCTTTGATGCACATTAGGAAAGCTCTGGAAACAAGGCAGACTAACTCCAACTGAGGATTATTTATACTCCAATCTTAGTGGACGTTTTATCTTTTTTAAACACAGGCGAGTATTACAGATCCAGTTTCAAGGAAGCTGTTCATTTACTCCACCAGCACAGAAAAACATTGTCATGACCAACAAAAGTTGTTTGCAGACATCCCGTATTATTTGGTCCAAACCAAGGCTGGCTGGACACGAGAAGCACCTGATTTGTGGTATGTCTGCAGACAGTCTTTCTTATTCTTCTGCTTATACAGGTTCTACATTTGGCAGAAGCTAAACACAGCAAGTACAAAGGTAGAACATTTTCACATGTTTAAAAATCAAAATAACCTAGACTTGCAAAGTGGCAATCATTTCCACCTTCATTGGAAAAAGCCAGAGTCAGAATAAACTGAGTGAATTTAGTTAATCATAACCACATTAAGCCATTCATCTCTGTGGCAGAATGTACCAGGCTTTGCAGCTAACATTTTGTTATGTGAATGGGTAGAAACATTTGCTCACATAAGCTGGTTAAATGTGATTCAGCCCAGATGTCCGAATGGCTTAGCAGTCTTTGTTGTGAGACGTTTGCAAAACATCAAAAAAGAATGACAGCCACAAATACATGACTGAGTTCCTGTCCAGCGGACGTGCAAGGCCTGGAGTTTAACAAGACTATTTTTGGCACGTATTGCTAAAACTCATTGAGGTATCACAACCCTAGTTACACAACGTCCAGTTCTTGTTCAAAGGAAAGGTGAAGATGGGATACAATCTGTGCTGTAAAAGACCTGCGCTTTAGGGTCCCCTCGCCCCCATGCAGGACTGCTGCACCTGTCAGCAACAAGGAGATGGAGCAGAGAAATAAGATATGAAAAATAATGCCCATCCTGAGCGTCCTGGAAAACATCCGACACACCACAGGGTGGGGGAAATTGTTCCACTTAACAGCCTTGATAGAGACCCTCAGATGTAATAAAGGTGTACCAGGATAAGTCCAAAAGACAGTGGCAGGGATGAGGTAACTAAGGCCAGAATTGAATTTACAGTGGGTCTGCTGACATAATTCTATCAAAATAATAGTACCGTCCAGCTCCTTTTAATACCACATGGTCCTGGAGAACACACACAAAAGATAGTGTTTTAAAAGTAGGTATCACAGACATGCAAAACTTAACAGAAGAAGTTGGGGTGAGAATAATGCAGGGAAAACCTCGGAACAAGGCCAACAACATGCCAGTAATTCATCCTTCCAAATACAAGGTCATTTTTGTCTCTCATACATAGCGGAATGTATTGATTCTAATTAAGCACAAATTTTCCTGCAGCAATAGTGGTTAATATGATGTCTGGTTCAGACTGTTTCTGCAACCCATGTGTACACTACAGATTTATCCTTAAAATGCAACATGAAAACATGTGTAAGCATACATGTACAAATTTCTGCACAACTATTACACAGAAGTATTTCATTCAGTATGGTGAAATAAAGTGACCTACAATCGTTTTCCTAAAGGCATTCCCCTCACTCGGTGATCTCAAATAACAAATGCATCTTCATGTCACTGTCCCAGATAACCTGCTGGAGGCACCTTAGACTATAGAGCTGAATCCAGCCAAGCAGCTTGGCTAGAGCCCAAGTCTTCCCCAGGACATACCATACACCAACAGACAAGCCTCAGGAGTTCAAGACCTACCAGCAGCAGACCCACCCGTCCTCCTCTGCTACTAAGACAGGCTAATACCCAATTTGTAATAAAAAGACATTTCACAGGCAAAAGAATGAATATGCAATAATCAAGACCAAGAAATTCTACCATTACAACAGGACACTGTTCTCCCTGCCACCAGGCCTAGTGCCTCCAAATGTAATTTTAACAACAACAAATTAAAGGAAACAGACAACTCTGAAAGTGCTTAACAGGTACAACATTCTTCCACACCTCTGACTTCTCATCTACCAGTAAAGCCAGCTTCAAATTCTCCTCCTTAAATCCATCCCCATCTTTAATGTTCAACAGTCATTTTTTCTGCTTTTAACAGGCTATTCAGCCTCAAAAAAACAAACCATAACTTAAGAGTATTTGCCTTGACCCAAACCTCAGAAGTTTAAAAGCAAACTTCAGGGGTGGAAGGGTAGGGAAGAAATGAAGCATAAACTATCTAATTACAGCTTAGGTCCAAGAAAAGCAAAGATTTGCTCACACTGTCCATGCTTAACTTTGATTCACACAAGAACAGTGAAACCCTGAGCAACCAGACTCTTGATTCGCTTCTGCCAGAAGTCTTTGTATTCTACAGGAAGAAAACTACTTTTTGTATACCACTCCCCTTCACGAGTCATTTATAACTACATTTAGTTATACATGTAGTTTTCCTCGGTGTTCTCCAGAAAAGGTGGCAAAAAAGCAAAACAAACTAGAAGATTTAGTGGCAAAAAACAAAACTATATGAAATGTTTGGGGTTGAGGAGCAAAAAACAAATCAACTAGCAGTGCTTCCCCTGCCCAAGATTTAAAACATACACAGGAAGTTCAATAGTGAAGTATTCAGTCTTTCTCTTCTAATTTGCGCCTATCAGTTCACAAAACAGAGGCACCACTCTCCTGTACTTATTTTTTGAAGGTACATGGGCCAATTGCTTTACATAAAATTGTTGCACAAATATTCTTGCTACCTGCCACACATTTGGGATGGAAATGTAAAAGCAGTTGCTCTAGCCAATTTTCTTCCAAAAGCAGCTACTGCTCTCCTTGCTCCTAAAGAGAATTTAATGAAGCCATCTGCTCGCAGTTGAGACTATTCTAAAAACATCCTGCATTCCTTATGCTCCCTTTTACAGTTCAAAGCCTGGCTAGCATCCCAAGGCTACAACCTTTGCAAAAAAGCAAAGCAAGAAGCAAAAAGAAACATTACTAAAAACATTTTGCTCATATGTTCATGAAAACTTCAGTATCTGCATCTATAATATGCAGATATCCTATTATTGACATTATTTTTGGTGACATTTGCATCTTAAAGGCAATAGAACAGTAAAATGCAACATGCATATAAA